CATGTCCCACGATACCGAGATAGAAGGTTTCAGTGAGAGTCTGATAAGTGTTTTCAGTTTTCTTTCTGGTTTTAAGGAGTGTCAAAAAGCATCTCTCCAGAGCACCGTGACACTGCTGATCACATATACATGCTAACCTCCTTTGAGCGATAATAAATAGCATAGAAATTTCTCCTAGGGAGAACACTGTCCATGTTTGCACCCTCCTATCACAGGCTGTTGACTAAATTATTGTTCATGCCATATTTTTTATCCCCGGCGTGTGCCATTGTGCATTCTACATGAATAAATACTATTTATTTATTTAGATTTTTAGAAATTAGCTTCAGGTGTACAAAACAACATAATAGTTAGGCATTTATACCCCTCAGAAAGCGATAACTCACCAAGTCTACTACCTCTCTGACATCAAACATAGTAATTACAGTAACATTGACTGTATTCCTTGTGCTGTACTTTACATCCCGTGGCATGCATACACACACACACACACACACACACACACACACACACACAGAGAGAGAGAGCACCAAAAAATGTATACACATTTTAAAAGGTGTTATCTGTGTAGCAGTAGTTCTCCGTAATCAGAAGTGTCTGGATGCTGATGGTAACCACTTTAAGCACCTCTTGTAATTGCAGAAGTCAAAAGTGACTATATATTGAGTATTACAATTTTAATAGTTTTTTCCTTTCTAAAATGTGTATACATTTTTTTTGGCCCTCTCAGAATGTGTGTGTGTATTACAGTTGACATACAATATTATTTTATATTAGTTTCAGGTGTTTGTTTCTTGTGAACTCTCAAAGGAAATTTTCTTCTCCCCATCTTATTCTGCCCTTTAACATGTAACATTTGTCCTGTCACCCTCCTCTGGTGCTGCAGCTTCAACAGAGACAGATAAGTCCAGTACCCATCTGACACCCTACATAGTCTTTATCCCTCATACTGTATTTCACATCCCCATGACTATTTTGTGACTACCAATTTGTACTTCTAATCCTTCATCTTTCTCACCTATCCCCCAAATCCTCTCCCATCTAGCAACCATCAGTTTGTTCCTTGTATCTATGAGTCTATTTCTGTTTTGTTTATTTTTTCTATCCTTTAGATTCCACATATAAGTGAGATCATGTAGTATTTGTCTTTCTCAGTCTGACTTATTTCACTTAGCATAAAACTCTCTAGGTCCATCCGTGTTGTTACGAATGGTAAGGTTTCATTCTTTTTTATGGCAGAGTAATACTTCAGTCACAACTGTTTATGTTAATGAGGTGACTTTTGGAAATCCCCAGTGATAGGAAGACTAGTTATCAGTGCAGCCAACCATATGATAAGGGAATCTGAACTTACAGTCCCACCTCCTGACCTCTTTGGAGGGGAGGGGCTAGAGATTGAGCTAAATCATCAGTGGCCAGTGATTTAATCAGCCACGCCTCCTTAATGAAACTTCCATGAAAACACGAAAGGAGAGGCTTCTGAGCGCTTCCAGGTTAGTGAACATGTGGAGACGGGAGAGTGGTGTGCTAGGAAGAGCATGGAAGCTCCTTGCCCTTTCCCCACACTTTGCCCCATGCATTTCTTCATCTAGCTCTTCTTGAACTTATATTCTTTCATAGTAAATCAGTAATCTAGTAAGTAAAATGTTTCTCTCAGTTCTGTCAGCTGCTCTAGCAAATAAATATAACCCAAGGAAAGGGTGGTTGAAACCTCTGATCTATAGCTGGTCTGTCAGAAGCCCAGGTGACAACCTGGAGTCCTGATTAGCATCTGAATGGGGGGGCGGTGTTCTAGGACTGAACCCTTATTCAATCTGTGGGATCTTACACTATGTCCAGGTAAATAGTGTTAGAATTGATTTGCTGGTGTTGGAGGATTGCTTGTTGATGTGGGGAACACTCCTATCCCCCATGGTGGAATTGTGATCAGACCCTTTTATTTATTTTTTTTTAAAGATTTTTATTGGGTAATTGGGGGGATGGGAACAGTGCTGGGGAATTAGGGGAAGGGGAACAGACAAGTTGCTGTCGTTTTTTTTTGTTCTTCAATCTAGTTGTGGAGGACGCTGCTTCACTGGCCCAAGTTGGCACCATCACTGCGCTCTTCCCGGGCGAGGCAGATCAGTCGCCGGCTTCTGGACGGCCACTCACTGCGGCTGCTGGCCGCTCACGCTGGCTGCTGGCTACATACGGTAGCCCATGGCAACCCACTGCCACAGGGACTGCAGCCTATGCCGTCGCCAGCAACTCACGGCAGCCCAGCTCCAGGTTGAGCTGTTGTTCAGCATCTTAGCTGTAGAGGGCAGTGTCACTGGCCCTCATATGTGGGATCCGAACCGGGGCCCTCTGGCATCCCAAGCCAGTTCTTAACCATCGCGCCACTCGGCCGGCCCTGTGATCAGACCCTTTTAGACTTCTTTATATATTCACAATATTAACCTATTATCAGATATATGATTTCCAAATATTTTCTCCCATTTCATAGATTGTCTTTTCACTCGATTGAATGTGTCCTTTGATGCACAATAGTTTGTAATTTTGATGTAGTTCAATTTCTGTTTTTACTTTGTTGCCTATGCTTTTGCTGTTATTTGATAAATTATTGCTGAATCCAATTTAAGCTTTTCTCCTATTTTTTCTTCTAGCAGTTTTATAGTTTTAGGTCCTATGTTGAGGGGTTTGTTTCATTTTTAGTTAATTTTTGTATATGGTGTGAGGTATTGGTCCCAATATAGTCTTTTGTATGTTGAGACTCAGTTTTCTCAACATCTTTGGTTGAATATGAATAGCCTGCCCTTCCGTCCTTGAGTGGTGTTGATATCCTGGTGGAATATTATTTGACCATATATACATGACTTTATTTCTGATGCCTCTATTTCTGTTCCACTGGTCTTTGTCTTTCTGCCAGTGCCACATTGTTTTGATTAGTTTTTAGGTTTGTAATAACTTTGGAAATAAAGAAGCATGAGACCTTAAACTTTTTCCTTTTGAAGCTTGTTTTTCCTATCCAGAGTCTGTTGAGATTCCTCATGAATCTTATCATGGGCTTATGTATTTCTTCTAAAAATGTTGTTCGGATTTTGCTAGGGATTACCTTTAATCTGTTGATTGCTTTGGGTAGTATTGACATTTTGGCAATATTGTCTTCTAATCCATGAAATTGGGATGCCTTTACATTTATTTGTGTCTTCTCTAATTTTTTTCAGCCGTGTTTTTAGTTTTCAATATACAAATCTTTCCCTCCTTGGCTCAAGGTTATGGATTTTTTGTGTTTATGCTATTATAAATAGAATTGTTTTAGCATTTTCCTTTCTGATTGTTCATATATAGAAATATAATTGATTTTTGAATGTTGATTTTATAACTTGTAGATCTTCTGAATTCATTTCATTTGTTCCAGCAGGTGTTTTTTGTTGTTGTTGTTGTTGCATAATCTTTAGGGTTTTCTATATATTAGATCATATTTAGGTGAGCAGATAATTTTGCTTCTCCTTTTTCTATTTGGAGACATTTTATTTCTTTCTCTTGCCTATTTGTTCTGGCTAGGACCTCTAGTTCTATGTTTTATAGAAATAGTGAGCATAGGCATCCTAGTATTGTTCCTGATCTTAAAGGAAAAACTTTCAGTCTTTTACCAGTGAGTATGACGTTAGCTGTGGACTTTTTATATATGTCCTTTATGATGTTGAGATAGTACTTTTTTCTATTCCTAGTTTACTGAGTGTTTTTAATCATGAAAGGCTGTTAAATTTTGTCAAATGCTTTTTCTGCATCAATTGACATGATCATTTGGTTTTATTTCTTCATTTATTCTGTTACCATGCAGTATTATACATTAAAATGATTTTCGTATGTTGACTCATCTTGCATTTCAAGAATATAGCTTTGTTGGTTATGGTGTATAATTCTTCTAATGTGCTAGTGAAATTGGTTTTATTATGTTATTGATGATTTTTGCATCAGTATTCTTGGGAGATATTGGTCTGTAATTTTCTTGTATTATCTGTGTTTGGCTTTGCTATTAGGGAAGTTCTGGCCTCATTAGATGAGTTTGGAAGTATTCCCTCCAGTTCAATTTTTTGAGAAGCATTTGAGTAAGATTAGCATTAATTCTTCTTAAATGTTGAGTAAAATTTTACTTTACATTTTTACTATCAGGTTGTTGGAAAAGTCATGATGTATTTTTTCCTATGTTTTTCGTTGCAAAAATGCGTCATGACTTTTTTGACAACCCATAGCTTTTCTTTTCTTTTTTTAAGATTTTTATTGGGGAATTAGGGAGGGGAACAGTGTTGGGGAATTGGGGAAGGGGAACATTGTTTTTCCAGAACCCATCAGCTCCAAGTCAAGTTGTTGTCCTTCAAAATTAGTTGTGGAGGGTGCAGCTCAGCTCCAAGTCCAGTCACCGCTTTCAATCTAGTATGTGTGCGTGTGTGTGGGGGGTGGGGGGGACATAGTCCACCATTCCATGTGGGAGTCGAACCGGCAACCTTGTTGCACACTGAACCATCTGGCAGCTTGTGGCTATTCAGTCCAAGGTGCCGTGTTCAATCTTAGTTGTGGGGGGCGCAGCCCACCATCCCATACGGGTGTCAAACCGGCAACCTTGCTGCTAAGAGCACGTGCTGTCACCAGCTCAGCGGCAGCTCAGCTCGGGCGCAGCTCACTGGCCCATGTGGGAATCAAACCGGCAACCCTGTTGCTCAGAGCTCGCGCTCTTAACCAACTGAGCCACTGGGCTGGCCCTGCACAACTTGTTTTTATTATAGGGTATTTGAAACTAGGCTACCCTAAGATTAATCTGAATTGCACATGACTACTATTTCCTTAGTAAAGAATCCTATTTTTTTAGTGTTTCTGAAAATTTGAGTATTGTGGTTGGGAGTTTTATAACTGTGTTCACTATAATTTTACTTTTGGTATAATACTAGTTTTTTACATGAAACATTTATTTAGAAACTGTAGTTAATAGGATATCTATGGCTCTTTATATCTTGTAGATCTCTGTCTTCCACACGTGATCAAGAAATTACAACCAGCAACAACCAGTAATACAGAAGAAGTATTCCAAACAGGGATGTTTGGAAGACCTGAAAGCCACATAATCAAAGACTTTTACTTCAGCGAAATCCAGGAAAATATGTATGACTTTGAGTGTCAGTGGAGTGATGATGAAAGAAATTACAAAGGAATGCATATAACCCATGAAAAACATCTCACTAATAGAAAAGATCAACATGGTAGAAGGGATGCAGGAAACAAGTGTATGGAAAATAGGCCGAGGTTAAGCTTTCAGGATGAACTGCAAATATTTCAAACTGAAGGGAACATTTATGGATGTAATCTAGTTGAGAACTCTGTCTTCAATATGTCCTCAGTTTCTGCACTTCAAACAGTTCCTCCTAGTGTCCAAGCCAACGTTTCTAATATACATGGGAATGATTTTAGTCATCCTTCAATACTGACAAAAGGCCAGAAAGCATGCAGGATAAAACCTTACAAATGTAATGAGTGTGGAAAAGCCTTTAGTATACGTTCAAGACTAATTTACCACCAGGTAATCCATACTGGAGAGAGACCATACAAATGTAATGAGTGTGGCAAAACGTTTACTCGGGCCTCACACCTCAGTACACATCAAGTAGTTCATAGTGGAGAGAGACCTTACAAATGTAATGAGTGTGGCAAGGTCTTTAGTGGAAAATCAAACCTTGCATGCCATCAGAGATTACATACTGGAGAGAAGCGATACAAATGTAATGTGTGTGGCAAAGCTTTTAGTGCGCTTTCAAGCCTAAGTAGACATAAGATAATCCACACTGGAGTGAAACCTTACAAGTGTAATGAGTGTGGCAAGGTTTTCTATAGGAAATCATACCTTGCAAGTCACCAAAATATTCATACCGGTGTAAAACCTTACAAATGTATTGACTGTGGCAAGGACTTTAGTGAAAAATCACACCTTACAAGTCATCAGAGAATACATACAGGAGAGAAACCTTACAAATGTAATGAGTGTGGCAGAGCCTTCAGTATGGGTTCAAGCCTAAATAGACATCAACTAATGCATAGCAGAGAAACACCTTATAAATATATTGAGTGTGGAAAGGTTTTCAGTAACATATCACACCTTGCCGGTCATCAGAGAATGCATACAGGAGACAAACAATACAAATGTAATGTGTGTGGCAAAGCTTTTAGTGTGCGTTCAAGCCTAAGTAGACATCAGGTAATCCACACTGGAGAGAAACCTTACCAGTGTAATGAGTGTGGTAAGGTTTTCCAGAGAAAAGCACACCTTAAACGTCATTGGAGCATTCACACTGGTGAAAAACCTTACAAATGTACTGAGTGTGGCAAGGCCTTTAGTCACTCTTCACACCTTGTAAGACATCAGATAATCCACACTGGAGAGAAACCTTACCAGTGTAACGAGTGTGGTAAGGTTTTCCAGAGAAAATCATACCTTGCAAGTCACCAGAGAATTCATACTGGTGAAAAACCTTACAAGTGTAATGACTGTGGCAGGGTCTTTAGTGAAAAATCAAACCTTTCATGTCATCGGAGATTACATACTGGAGATAAGCCTCACAAATGTAATGAGTGTGGCAAAGCTTTTAGTGTGCGTTCAATCCTAGCTAGACATCAGGTAATCCACAGTGGAGAGAAACCTTACAAATGTAATGAGTGTGGCAGTGTTTTTAGTTACAAATCAAACCTTGCACGTCATTGGAGCACTCATACTGGTGAAAAACCTTACAAATGTAATGTGTGTGGCAAGGTCTTTAGTGAGAAATCAAACCTTACATGCCATCAGAGAATCCATACTGGTGAAAAACCTTACAAATGTAATGTGTGTGGCAAAGCCTTTATTGTGCGTTCAAGCCTAAGTAGACATCAGACATTCCACACTGGAGAGAGACCTTACAAATGTAATTTGTGTGGCAAGGACTTCAGTCACTCTTCACACCTTGCAAGACATCTGCGAATCCATACTAGAGAGAAACCTTACAAATGTAATGTGTGTGGCAAAGCCTTTAGTGTGCGTTCAAGCCTAAGTAGACATCAGATAATCCACACTGGAGAGAGACCGTACCAATGCAATGAGTGCGGTAAGGTTTTCCAGAGAAAATCACACCTTAAACGTCATTGGAGCACTCACACTGGTGAAAAACCTTACAAATGTAATGAGTGTGGCAAGGCCTTTAGTCACTCTTCACACCTGAGAAGACATCAGATAATCCACACTGGAGAGAAACCTTACAAATGTAACGAGTGTGGCAAAGCCTTCAGCGTGCGTTGGAGCCTAACCTACCACCAGGTAATCCATAATAGAGAGAAACCTTAAAAATGCAATGAGTGTGGCAAAACCTTTAGTGTGCGTTCAAGCCTAACTTACCATCAGCTACTCCATACTGGCGAGAGACCTTACAAATATACTGGATGTGCCAAAGCTTTTAGGTATTGCCTTAAACTCAGGGTTCACCAAATAGTTCATACTTACGAATGCAGTAAATATGACAAAATTTAAATTAGTACTCTTACTAGATATAAGAATATACATCCTGTAGAGTAAATGTACAAATTAATGTATGTGAAAGGATATTTACCCATGTATCAACTGTTCGGAAACATGTTGGAGTGATATCTTTCCAATGTAATGAGTGTGGCAAAGCCTTTACTCAGGGCTCACACCTCACTACACATCAGATGATCCATACTGGAGAAAAGCCATATAAATGTATGTGCCAAGGTGTTTAGTCAAGATTCACACCTTGCAAATCTCTTATACTGGAGATGTAATGTAATGAATGTGGCAAAGTCTTTAGTCAAAACTCACACCTTGTTAATAACTGGAAAATTCATACTAGAGGGAAACCTTACAAGTGTAATGAGGGTGATATATCCTTCAGTGTGCATTCAGGCCTAAGTTAACATCAGTAGTCCATACTGGCAAGAGACCTTACAGGGTAATGAATATGGCAAGACTTTTAGCAGGTGTTCACATCTTAGCTTCATGAGAAAATAGATACTGGAGGAAAGCCATACACATATATTGAATGTGGCAAGGCCTTTAGAAAATGGTCAGACCTCAGGTTTCACCAAAGAATTCATTCTGGAGAGAAACCTTACAAATGCCCTGAGTGTGGCAAAGCCTTTACTCTGGGCTTGCATCTCACCAATCATCAGATACTCTGTACTGGCAAGAGAACTTACAGATGTTTCACATGTGGTAAGGCTTTTAGGTATTGTCTTAAACTCAAGTGTTCACCAAATATTGGGCTGTTGGAAAAGTCCTGACGTATTTTTTCTAAGTTTTTCATTGCAAAATGTCATGACTTTTCCGACAACCCAGTAGTTCATATTTAAAGAACAATGAGTATGAAAACGTTTTAAATTAGTGCTCTGTCTTCACTAGATACAAGAATATACATTCCTGGGAGAAATCACACAAACATGATGTGTGTGTCAAGGTTTTTACCCAAAGATCAAAGGTTGAGTGAACCTATTGGAGTGATACCTTACAAATGCAATGAGTGGCAAAGCCATTACCTTGAGTTCAGGTTTTGTGCAACAACAGAGACTCCATATAAAGAGAAATTATGTAAATTTATATGGCAGAGTCTTTATCCAAGCCTCACAATTCACTAGACATCAGAATATACATCTTTGAGAGAAATCACATAAAAGTAACTTGCATGCTAAAGCTTTTACCCATAGATCAAACTAGTGGGATATCAAAGGATTTATACTGGACAGCAACCTTACAAATGTAATGTCATAGGCTTTTCATCAAATGTCTATTCCTTTGGAATAATGACAGTTCATACAGGACAGAAACTATACAAATATACTCAACATTGAACTACTATTAAGAAACTGTCTTTGGGGTTCACCCAAGAATTCAGGATACTGGGAAGAATCCTTACAAATGTAATGAATGTAGTTAAAATTTTAACCAATTCTCACAACCGACCACCCCTTCAAGAATCCATACTTGGTATAACTAAGTAAGTTTCTAGTTCGCTGAGATATTACATACTGCAGAATAATTATAAGTGAAACTATGTTAAAACTCCTGATATGCTGTATATCACGGGGACAAGGATGTGAACAAATAGCCCACTATTTTTAGTGTTTATAAGTTATTTGAGTTTTCTTGAAAAGACTCCATTACTATTTATGACATTTAACCTGCAGTTTGAGGGCTGTTGATCTGATCTTTTCAGGCTTTTCACGATGGTCTTTGGGATGGAATCTATATGGATAAAGGGCCAACTTCATTAAGTATTGTTCATTCATATCCATGTTCCCTGGATAAACAACCCTAATGATCAAATTCATTATATGAATTAGCACTAGGGAAGGCAGAGAATAATGTAAAGCTATGGTATAAGTCATGGTTATTGTTCTGAGTGCCCTTCTCTAGACAAACCATTGTAGGTTATAGAAAAGAATACCCTACCAACTGACCATGAAACAGCAGGCCCGGACATTAAGGGACTGAGTTTTTCATGGGAGGAGAGGGATAGGTTATGAGGGAGCAATTATGGGGTAGAAATAATACAGAAGAAATGGTGGTGACTTTCTCCATTGAATGGCAATAGCTGTTGTATATCAAACATTACTGGAAAATTAGTTTTATTTTTGGAAATTAAGAGGGAGCAGTTATCTGACAAGGGAGTTTTAATCAAAAGAGCCAGAATAGTATGTGCATGTGTATGATTCACATTTAACTGTTGGCATTATTTTTGCCACTGTTTTATTCAGAATGTATTGCAAGTCTCGTGTTTTAATAAAATGTAATCATTTTTTTCATAAACCTGAATGAATCCTTTCTACCAACTCAGTTTTATCACACCTCTGTAGGGTACTTCATAACATTAACAAGGCTCTCAAGGTTGAAGGAATCTATAACAATTTACTTCCATGATGAAATCAAAGAACATACAATTTTGGGGTTATATACTTGCAATTTGCACTTATCTATCCACACTGCCACAGGACATTTCTGAGACTGTAATAAAAATAACCATAGCTTTGCAATTTCAGTCTCTTGACTTCCTAAAACCTGCCCCCATTCATGAATATACACCACATGATTATATTTCTTTGTCCTTTTTTGTGCCCAAATAAAACCCATGGCATGTGCCTTGTTTTACATGAAGTGAAAAATAGAAATATAGTAAGCATATGAAAAAACTAGGAAATCAAAGAAAATTTCAAAAATAAGGATAAGAGCACTCAGTGAAGTAAATTAGGTGAACAATTTAGTGTTACTAGATTACTAGTTACATAAGAAAGCTTTGTAGGGAGAGCAGAGTAGACTTCCTGCTGGTGAAAAACTGGCTTGAGAGAATGGTGCATGGTGACTGATCTGGTGTGTTTAGGCACTTACAGGTGGGATTGGGGTGAGGGTACCCACTTATGAACGTCCAGCTAGTATCAAAGGAAGGAGCACTCTGGCTAGCCCAGATGGGCAGAATAGGGAGAAGTTGTAGTGAGACTTAAAAGATCAGAAGTCAGGGCCGGCCGAGTGGCGCGATGGTTAAGAACTCGCTTGGGATGCCAGAGGGCCCCGGTTCGGATCCCACATATGGGGGCCAGTGACACAACATCCTCCACAACTAGATTGAAGAACAAAACGACGGCAACTTGTCTGTTCCCCTTTCCCCAATTCTCCAGCACTCTTCCCATCCCCCCAATTCCCCAATAAAAAAAAAAATCTTAAAAAAAAAAAAAAGATCAGAAGTCAAACATCTTTAATAAAAGACTACTCATACATGTTTCCTCTTAAAACTCCTGATTTCTTGGTTGGGAAAGACCACAGTTTTCATGGTAATAATTTATTACATTCCTTCCTGTGCACCTATGGGTTCCATTGTAGGTCATGATTGTTGCAAATGCTTGTAGAATACTATTGCTATACATTGCCTAGGATATTTTTACCCTAGTTTAAAGAAAATTAATGCTTGGAAGTGTTTATTAAATAAGATATTGAGCAATTTTACTAGAAAAGCAATTTTCCAAAAGATATTAAAATATCCATTTGAAATTATGGTGGTAGGCAATATGTTACATGGTTTATTTTGAACTGTAGTAAAACTTTTTTAATATAATTTTCTTCACATTGTTTCCTTCCACACATTGTGACCAGGTTATACATTCCATTTCCATTTTTCCCTGGTGTATACCAGGTGATACATAAATCAGTGGGTTGTATTGAAATTTGTGACATGAAAATGCACGCACGATGACAGGTACAAAGTAGGTGCTCCACAAAAATATGAAGAAGTTCCTTTAGGTCTTTAGTTCAAGGAAATTACTGGAATGGCACAAGGTGAACTGAAGTCTTTTCATGTGGGAGTTGGCTGCGGTCAGGTGCTTGAAAATCAAGTGTGTGGAGGTCAATAAGCACTAAGAAAAGTAACTGAAAATATAATGATGAATGAGAAAGTTCCCAAGATTCCAACTTGTGACAGGGAAACAGTATCCATTGCTAAATGCCTGGAGGCCATTCTGCCATTGCCCAATGACAGGTATTCCTATTCAGAGCCAGAGGGTCTGGCAAGGAAAGTGAGGTTTGTTCTACTTTTACCATGATACCCAATGTCCTCCACCTAGAATTTGTTCCCATTGCACAATAATACATATATTTCAAAGACTCATTCAATCACATCCCAGCAAGCAGCTGAATCAGCGTTTGAATCCATAATGTCTGGCTGCAAAGACAAACAACCATGGTGCTACACTAGCAAGGCAAATTATTTCTATCCTTCAACTACTCAACATCTCTACTTAATTTTAGGAGTATCTTTTGTCATTTTAAAATGGGTTACCTTAGGGCTGACTGAGTGGCGCGTTGGCTAAGAGCTGGCTTGGGACGCCAGAGGGCCCCAGTTCAGATCCCACATATGAGGGTCAGTGACACTGCCCTCTACAGCTAAGATGCTGAACAACAGCTCAATCTGGAGCTGGGCTGCTGTGAGTCGCCGGCGAAGGCGTAGGCTGCAGCCCTTGCTGCAGTGGGTTGCCATGGGCTATCGTGTGTAGCCAGCAGCCAGCGTGAGCGGCCAG